CGCGGCTGGCAAATGGCTGGGAGCTTGCCGGGTATCACTATTAGTCGTCGTAAGGTGCGTCAAGAAAAAAAAACGATGAGCAAGTGCGTAGATGTGATGAATGAGTTGATATTTGCTAAAGTCTGAGTACGGATGCCGGGTTGTAAAGAAGCAAGTTTGGTGGCGTGTGAGGCGCTGGCGGGTGTCGGGGAAGTGCGACCCAGGCACTGTGCTTGTCAAAGCTGCCAGTGCGCCAGTGCTGCCGCTGACGCATGGAGGCGGTTGGGGTAACTGGGGTGGGAGCCCTTGAAGCTGTCCCTGACGTCGTATCGCCCGTCAGGGCTCTTGAAGTTCCGGGACCCACTTGATTCCTGGCCTCTGCGGCAGGTGCGGCCCTCTGCTACCTTGCCTTCTTGCCTTGTCTCTCATGACGCATGCATCCGGTCAGGAGCCGTCATCATCTGTTATGACCGTTTTACGAGGCTTGACAAACTGTTTTGTGAAACCAACAGCTCAGGACTGGCATTCCTTGACGCCTGTCCACACCACGGCGCCCGCTTGCCCGGTACTATGTTGGCCTAATCACAGGTCATACTTGATGATCCTATCATCTTCATACCAGGATTCTCCGCGGCGCATACCTATTACCGTCCGCCTGGAAACCCCGGCGTATAACTACTAAGTAGGTGGGTATTCTTCATAGCTGTCTTTTACATCACTGTCTCGGTATACAATTGCGCCGTATATTCAAGTCGAGGGCTGCTCCCGTATCTCGTTTGTCCTTCTCCACACGTGATTCCAAACGGAGTAGCTAGTTTAGGCCCAATTTCGACCACACGTTTGTCACAGCTCCCAAATCAAGCTTCATGTGTCTTCTCATCCACGCATCCACAATGTCTGTCAAATCTCTTGTTTGAGCAAACCAGCTCTTCCTTCCCTTTCTTAAGTTCCGAGAACTACATCTTCACAATTTTGTCTTTCGTCTTGGATAATGCCTCCTCCTCGGACTCGCTACACTCTCCAGCTCCTTCGACCTTCTGTGTGAAAAGAATTACATGGGAGCCACGTTATGGCCAGTGAAAACGAACCTGACCTTTTACGAAACTTGGTGGTAAGTAAAGGCTATCATCACGGCAATGTGTCTCCAATATTCTCATTGATCCCATGTCGTTGTTTCATCTCTGCCCTGCCTGCCCCCCCGGGTCTTTTCGTCTGCTCATTTTCTGCGTCTTCTGTACCTGAACAAATATTCACAGGACTCATTCCACACGCTTCTCGACGAAGCTCTCATTGTGGCTATAGCAAGCGACTACAACCTCGAGAGTCCATCTGCTTACAAACAGGCGCAAGCTACTCTACAAGACTTGGCGCAAAGTGTTCCTTCGGAGGAGGCCTCTGGCTTCAACCCCAGCGGCATCCCCCAAGGACCTGAAGAAGAGGCGCAAATTGTTCAAGATGAGCCGACAGTAACGTCGACAACCAGCGCAAGTCGTCAGACATCGCAGGCTCACATTACAGACAAGTCAAGCACAGATAATTCATCATGTGTACCGGATTCGCCGAGTCTTACGCCTCGGTTGACAACATTCAACCAAGACAGCGAAGAGGATAAGCTCCTCCTGTTGCAGAGCATGTTTGCCGATCTGAAGCAATTTGACATTCAGTATGCGCTGAAAAAGGCCAATGGGGACTTTCAGACTGCGCTGGATGATCTCCTGAATGTGCAGTATTTGCAGTCTACCGGTCAACAGATAAAGGGTGTTGATGGATTTTTTGAACTAGAAAATGACAGGAGTAAGGGCAGGAAGAAAAAAAGAGGCAAAAAAAAGGTCGCATCAGATGCAGATCAGTCAAGTGATGGTGCATCGTCTCCTAGCATTGCCAGCGAAACACAAAGTGAGTGTGTGACTAAATCTCATCCAGCATTGGGAATCTTTCTAATTCCGTCCAAGGCCAGGATGAAATCGAGTACGTAGCTGAGCGATTCGGCATTCGATCTGATCAAGTATCCCCCATCTACTACAAATTCCAGTGCTCCAAAGGCGCTACTGTCGTCGAGCTCCTCAACCAGTATATTTCCCATGGCATCGAAACCCAAGACGAGAGCGGCAAAGAAAGTGCCGAGCGCCTAGCCAAAAATTATCGGCACGTCCCTGAAAAGTACATGCCCACCATTGTCCATGTTGCCGGTTCTATTCCCCAGTTCGCAGACGACCTCGCCGCTCTTCTCAACAAGTATTTTTCAAAGCAACCCAAGGCCAAAAAGATAAATCTTTCGTATCGCCTCACGCCCCTCCCGCAGGAGGGCATCGAAGGCGGAGATTTGATAGTTCCCCCTCGTTCGGGCGCCATGCCGGCAGTCGGACTGGTTGCAAAGCCATCGCCCATAAGTAACATGAACTATGAAGAAGCCATGAGCCGAGCAAACATATTTCACCAGGCGCGCCGCGATGCCGCAGCGTCTGCGGCGCAAATGCATCGCCGGGGCGCATCTAGTCCGCTTTTTAGACAGGCAGCCAGCTATTACTCCGACCGGGCTCGAGAACAGGGCCGATACGCCCAGGGTGCCACATCCACAGCTGCCGATATCCTGGTTGACCAAAAAAGCACGAGTTCCTCCATCGACCTACATGGTGTTTTAGTACAGGATGGAGTGAGAATCGCGCGACAAAGGGTTCAAGAGTGGTGGGGTGGGTTGGGAGAAATGAGAGCAAGAAAGCTGAGAGAAGAAGGCGGGTTTACCGTGATTACTGGCCTAGGCCGTCACAGTGCCAGTGGCGTTTCACAGATGCGACAGGCTGTTGCGGCAGCCTTGCTGCAGGATGGATGGAAGCTGACCGTCGAGACGGGGAGGTTCGTGGTTACCGGACAAAGATAGTCCATCGTGAGGGAGGGCACCATCAGGATATGTACGGCGGCATGAAGTGGATGAATCATGACAACGATTTCATCGTACAGGAAAATGAGGGATATGGTTGACAGTCTATAGATACGTTTGTCTAGACACGCGAAGTAGAGGGAGAAAACAAAACCCATTCTCGTATGATTGAGAAATGCAATCTTCATTCTGTCTATCCGGTCTATAATTAATATATATGCGCCATTCACAGCGCACTAGCTACCTTTGTCCGTATGGTCTGGTGGTAATAATACATACGCTATTCGCATACCTCTTAAGCACGTCGATTGTCAATCGCCTGACCGCACCTCTCCCACACAGCGTATCCCGTAAAAATGGTGCTGAAAAACATGGCTACCCATACCATGCCCACATCAATATCCACCAAACCAGTAGCCCAGGCCGGAATCGCAATATCAAGCAAATCAGCGAGCAGCTTCCTGGTCAGCCCACCAATCTTCCGGCTCGCCTCTTTGGACGCCGCCTCCCTCTCTTGCCTGCGTTTCTCAGCTGCCGCCTGGGCCTTTTTCTCGTCGCCCTCGCCCGGTGCCTGCTTCTTCTCATCCTCGGGGGCGCCAAAGCCGCTCCCCGTCTCAGGCACAGCGCGACGAGCATAGGTCCTGAAGATTTTGACGCCAGTACATGATGCGGAGCAGGCCAGCGCCGCAAGCCACACACCCTTGGACTGGTAATCGATTCTAACGGCTTCGTCGAGACCGAAGACGGACAGGCCCTTGACGTGCAACAGATCGGGCAGCGTGACAGACTCCATCAAGCCGAAGAGTCCGAAGAGGCTGTCTGCCAGGATGGCGAGCCAGGCCTCTATGCTCTTCTCGGGAGCCATGTAGGCGTTCCAGCTGGATTGGAAGCTGCCGAGGCACCAGAACAGACGGATGGCGCGGCGGGTCATGTTCAGATGGTCGGAGAGTTGGCCCATTGCCAGTGCACTGGTCTTGTGGACGGCGGAAGGTTGGTGGGAGAGAAGCATGGGTATCAGGGCTGGGTAGGCCGTGAGAATGGAAAAGACGGACTGGATGAAGCGCATGATGCGCTCGAGACCGACTGCGACATGTTAGTTCCCTCTACTTGGATGGTGTGAAGTGGTTTGGACGTTGGGAGTAAGAGTAAGATGTGTCCGGAGCAATGTGAAGGAAAGCTCCGATTGGAAGCCATTCACATGAGTCTTTCATTGTACATCTCAATATATATATATATATGCGTTGAGGCTATGGGATGGAGAAAGGCGGTGGATGGTGATGAGGGAAAAGAGGTCATCATACCAATGTCGGTCCCGAAGGCGACAAACTGTTCAAAGTATCCGGCCATTGCGATGCTTCCAGATGCTCGGACGAGCTCAGCTGTGGCAAAGTGTACTAAAAAAAGGCGACCTTGCTATGGGAATATAGAGCAAGGGGTTACGTCTTGATGGACTCGTTTCCAAGTGAGGTTGTCATACTTGAAAGTTGAGTGGATGCTATCACACCGGCATTAATAAAACACCAAAAAAAACAGGCGTGGCCACGCCACGGTATTTAGTGTCTGGTGTTATACCGTAACCCCCAGCGCCCCCATGTAATGACCCCTGAGCCATGTGGAGCTAACTAACATTGAAGCAGCAGCGCAGCGTCATCGGCACGTTTTGAGCACCGACATTTGAATGGTCAGGCCTGGTCTGGCCAATGCGATGCCGGGGTCAAATATTTCATTTCAACAATTAATAAGGCTTGGGACTCTGGAGCATCCGGATGCTGCGGAAACCCAGCCATTGATAAATATCAGCGCTACTAATTCCAAAGCAGGATGCCAGGCTACTTGATACCGTCTCAAGAGCTTTTGCGAAGCCCTGGATACAACCCTAACCCTAACCAGAGGAGTTTCCTGGGAAAATGAGGCGAAAGGGGTATCACATTTCCAAGAACTCCCATGAACCTCGTTTTCCGGCTGGGAAAGCAACTGGCTGCAATCTATGCTCCGCCGTCGATTCTCTCGTCTAAGCTTTCTGATTGTGCCCTTCCGCCTCTCTGGATTCTTTCGCAAAAAGATCCTTGATCATAGGTTGGAGGAATTCTGGCGCCTCAACCATCTCAGGAACAGCAACGTTGCAAACCCAAGTAGCCGCCTGTCAAATGTCTCTGTATCTGGCAGCGGATCGCGGTCCATCAGCGGGCCGAACGGCAAGCCAGCCGTAGCAAACGACAACCCCTTCATCGCCAGCTTGTCTTGGATCGTCAGCAATTCCTCCCCATAGGCATCGTCGGGATCCTCGGGCACCAGTTCTGAAGCCAGTCTCTCCAAAGCATCCAAAATCTCCTGCCGGTCCCATATTCGCGCCAAGGGCGCGCTCTGCATAATGGCCCTTTGGAACAACCCCTCTGTCCCATTCACCCCCATCAGACAATATGTAGAATCCGCGCCGGCTGACTCCCCAAATACACAGACTCTCTTCGGGTCGCCTCCGAAGGATCCGATACTCCCCTGAACCCATTTCAAAGCGGCAATCTGATCCATCAGCCCCAGGTTGGCGGGCGCTTTTCCCTCGATGGGTTGGTAGCCCAAGATCCCTAGGCGATTCGTGGTATTCACCGCCACAGCACCTTTCGCCGCGAGGCCTGCGCCGGAGGAATACCCTCCTCCGTGGATGAATACCATTACCGGCACAGATAGCGACGCTTTCGACGCCGGCGCGAAAACAGTCCTCTGACATGGCTCGGCCTTGAGCAATGGGGCCGTTGAGTGCGTCCAGACGGGATTTTAATTGAGGGCATATAGGACAGCTCTGGGTGAAGTCCTTGGTTGAGGACCCATTTGGCATCGGTTGAGGCGGTTGGAAACGCTCGGCTTGCGAGTAGGGAATGCCACGTGCTATGAGGATGTTGTCATTTTGCAAGACGGTAATTTTTCCGTTTGGTAGTTGGAGTGTTATTTTTGATACGTTTGCCATGGCGTACGAGTGGTGACATTCCCGAGTGTCTTCAAGGATGGGGGGTTCTTGCACAAAGCCGATTCAACGTGATCAGTTTGGGAGTAGGTGGACATGTATATACATATGTCAAGTAGGTAGTCACCGTCGGCCAAAAACCCCTAGAACCCCAAAGGCGAAACCTTGACGTCAAAGATAATGTATTTTATTCTTGGCACAAAATTGTCCCGTCCAACACACAGTAGAGACATCATCCTCCCTTCCGGTCTTCGGGATAATCCGTCACAGGCCGCCACCGCATGGAGGAAACGGAAGCCTTTTCCTGTTTGGCATTGGAAAAAATCGGCCACGTAACCTCGTAACGATGCCGCAGCTTCAGAACGTGAAACGACAAATAGCCGCACGGCGATCGGGAGTTGAACCTAGAAGCGCGACGTCCGATTGTCCGATGCTGTCGGGGTATCGGAGTGAATTATCCATCATCCAACCATCGTTCAACAAGACGAGACATAATATGATAAACATCAACGATACAGTAGCATTTAGAACATAGTAAATACAACTCCAGCCATATCTGCAAGTTTGCAGCGCATGCCGGATGTAGGTATGCGGCTCCCAGCCAAAAAAAAAATCTTGCGGCGCTCTGAAGCGTCCAACTCTCTCCCTCCATCTACAGCTATCCGCTTCGTCTAATCTAGATGGGCAAAGTACTCCTTTATAATTACTGACCGGGGGAAACAAGCTTGCCTTGTGACCTCGTGTTGGCCTCCCATCCACCAGCCAGAGCTGCACCGCCGTTCTCCTGAGCAAACTTCTGCATTCTAGCCTCCAGCTCGGGTCGGAAGTGGCGGATAAGACCCTGAATTGGCCAGGCGAAAGCCTCACCCAAAGCTATGCATTATTTCAAGTCAGTCTCGCCATTGTCTTTTGAAGTGGCTTGGAATGATATTGTTCGTGCTTACCGCAGATGGTATGGCCCTCAACCTGCTTCGTCAACTCCTGAAGCATATCGATTTCCCGCTCCCGTCCCTGACCACGCTCGAAACGAGACATGATCTGCTCAGTCCACTTACTGCCCTCACGGCAGGGAGTGCACTGACCGCAGCTCTCGTGTCGGTAGAAGTGACTAAGGCGGGAAATGGCACGGACAACGTCGGTGCTCTTGTCCATGACGATGACAGCAGCAGTTCCAAGACCAGACTGGCTATCCTTGAGAGCATCAAAGTCCATGAGCTGGTCATCGCAAATGTTCTTGGGCAAAATGGGGGTCGATGAGCCACCAGGAATAACGGCCAAGAGGTTGTCCCAGCCACCACGGACACCACCGCAGTGCTTGTCGATGAGTTCACGCAGGGGAATGGACATCTCTTCTTCAACCGTGCAAGGGTTGTTGACATGGCCAGAGATACAGTACAGTTTGGTGCCCTGGTTACGCTCGCGACCGAAGCCAGCAAACCAGCTTCCTCCACGGCGACAAATGGTAGGGGCAACGGCAACAGTCTCGACGTTGGCGACAGTTGATGGGCATCCGAACAGACCGACGGCGGCAGGGAACGGGGGCTTAAGGCGAGGTTTGCCAGGCTTGCCCTCGAGAGACTCAATCAAGGATGTCTCCTCACCGCAAACATAGGCACCGGCACCACGGTGGATGAATACGTCAAAGTCGTAGCCAGAGCCACAGGCATTCTTTCCAATCAATCCGTCTTTGTAGGCCTCATTGATGGCGTTCTGCAAGACGGCAGCTTCGTACACGAATTCACCTCGAATATAAATGTAGGCAGCGGTCGCGTTCATGGCTCGGCCGGCGACAAGGCAGCCTTCGACAAGCTTGTGGGGGTCCTTTCGCATGATTTCGCGATCCTTGCAAGTTCCGGGTTCACCCTCATCAGCGTTGACAACAAGGTATCGAGGCTTGTTGTCCTTGTCCCAATCCTTAAAGTTCATGAAAGACTATATTTTGAAAAATGAAAGAAGCAATTGGGTTAGAATTCAGGCGTCTTATGGTGTCCCTGAGACGAAACGGATAAGAGAAACGTACCCATTTGAGACCAGACGGGAAGCCGGCACCACCGCGGCCGCGTAGACCAGATGCCTTTATCTCGTTGATGATCCAATCGTGACCCTTGAGTATAATTTCCTTCGTCTTATGCCAGTCGCCCATCTTTTTCGCGCTCTTGAGGTTCGGCGGCAATCGGCCGTAGAGATTCTGGAAAATACGATCTTGGTCCTTGAGACCTCCGTACGTCCGCTTGGGGGTTCCATCCTGCACTGTGGCGAGGCCCCTCACGGCGTTCCGCGAGAGACTCACGGCCTTGCTTGGCGCCGCTCTCGAGGACAGCATTATGTCGTTGTCCGGATGGGCGGCGGGTTGGGCTTGGTGATGAGATCGTGGATGTGTCGTAAAGATGCTGTGCCGTACTTGGCGGCGAGATTTGTACAATGTCAGCGTCAGAATTGCGGACAATCTGGTTGGCCAATGCTAAATGTGGGCTATACTACCCGCATTGTTAGCCGCTACATGTTATAGCTCCAGAATGAAAAGAGATGCAAAGTACTCTACATCACAGCGCTTGGTCATAGAAGGCCCCACATTGTCCCCGTCTCCAACCGATGCGAGCTAATATTGAGTGGCAAAGAAGTTCTCCAAATCGGGGAGCTCTATCCCTTTGAATCCCCTGAAGACTACAACTAGGTCACAGTATCCACAGGGCCCCGGGTAGCAGCTGGTGACGTCAAGTGACATTAATAATAGTGAAGATTATAGCGTTTATGATGTAGCGTTTTGTAACCTAGATTTTTATGGGTACTTATATTATTATATAAAATGTTAAGGGATTAAGGTACCGTGTAAACTTAAGCTTTCAATTGGTTGCTTATCCCGATTCCCTACAGCTACATAATTGTAGTCTTCGCTGCTTTTAGGGGATGATAAGGTGCCACTCTTGTATCAGACTGGGTTTTAAACCAATTAATACCCTTATATAAAAAGATACTTAATTTTATTCAAAAATTATATGGAAATAAAAGTACTTGTTATAAAAGGTACTTTACACCTATCAGCTTTTGACCTTTAACACGGCTAGTTTTGTTACCAAAGAGGTATTTCTTAGTAATACAGAAAAGTGGGGCAGTTACAGCAGCGGCACGTCTCGAAACGCCGTACAATTTGCCCGTATCCCAAAGGCGGGATTTTGGGCCCTCCCTCAAGGACATGAATTTTACGGCAACCATTACTGAAGACATAGCACCGTAAACATTCTAGGTTGCTCACTTCATTAATATCTTGCCATGTCAAGCAAGAGACAATCAATTCTCCCGGCTATTGACCGCAGTGGTCCCAAGCCACCGGTTAATTTCTCGTCCTCGCTCACCATATCTGACAATGCTATTCTACAAGGCACACATTCTATTACGATGCAGTCGGAAACCGTAGTCCATCCTCGGTCACGGTTCGAATCCAATCTCGGCAGCATACTCATAGGACGACGGTGTATCATCCACGAAAGAGTTTACATTGGAGCGCGTCCTACCGATATAGGTACCGCCAAGCCAGGAGGCGTTGTACTAGGAGACTACGTCGTCGTTGAGGTTGGAACGATCATTGAGGCAGGCGATACCGAAATTGGTGAGGGGACGACATTGCAAGTCGGGTGCAAGATTGGCAGCGGCGCCAAGATCGGAAGACATTGCACAATCTCCCATAAGTCGGTTATCCCTCCGGGTGAGCATCTACCTGATTACACCGTGGTTTACTCGGACGGGCTACGCCGATTGGATAACCGCGGTGTCACGGACATGCGGAAACTTGGACTGGTTAAGCAAATTGCTGTTTTGAAGAAGATGATTCCCAGCAACCCGGACAAGTTTAAGTGATGCAACGAGCAAGCCTCGACATGCGATATTTACCACATCAATTTGTACCATCAATATGCTAGATTACATATTGCGCGAAGGCTTAGTGACTCATGGCGTCTTCGAAGAGTTTGCGGAGCTGTTCCTTCTCAGTTTGCAATTCCTTATCTAACCCGGGAGCCAACATGAGTACACGAGCCTGCGGAATGGTGCCTTCGACAAGAGCGTCGACGTGCTGGCTGCCAAAGCCAAGCTCTTTGAGACCTGCGGGCTGGTCGCCCAGCTCTGCGAGGAACTTGGTCAATGCCTCTGCCAACACCTCACCAGCACTTTCCAGCTTCACGTTGGATGTGTCAACGCCAAAAGCCTCAGCAGCCTCGAGATGTCTCTGGGGATTTGAAGCAGCAGTAAATCGGAAGACCGCTGGAGCAGAAACAGCGACGGAGACGCCGTGGGGAATTAGGGGTGCGGGCACGTCGTAGCCGGCGTGTTTATATCCAGGGTTCTGTCCAGAGATGGGATAAGACATGCCTAGGTAAAAATATCAGTCCAAAGCTCCCACTACTTTGCAATTGCAGCGTGACAATGGGGTCAGGTGGACATACCGTGACACAGGTGAACGCCCGCATTTCCAAAGCCGACACCAGCAAGAGTGGCCGCAAGGAGCATCTCGCTCTGCGCCTCGAAGTCATCGGGATCCTTGACAGCTCGAGGCAGGTACTTGACCGTGCGGTGAAGAGCATGGAGGGAAAAGACATCCGATATGGGATTGGCACCCTGGTAAGCCGGTCTCATAATTGGGTTTGGTGGACGGGGAGTGCGCTCATTGTAAGGGATGGCCGTCCAAGACTCCAAAGAGTGGCAGAGCACATCCAGTCCGGAGCTGGCCTTGACAGCAGCAGGCATGGTTCGTGTATTGATGGGGTCACATATTCCCAGCGTAGGCTTCAAGTTTCTGTGAGCGACACCAGTCTTGGCTCGCTTGGATACAAGATCAAAGATGGCTGTGCCGGTGGTCTCGCTTCCTGTTCCTGCAGTGGTAGGAACAGCAATAAGCGGGCAGAGGGGTTTGTCGATAGGTCGGCCCTTTCCGAGGGGAGCATTGACAAAGTCCAAAAAGTCAGCGTCGGGATAATTCAAGTACAGGTTCATTAACTTGGCCGTATCCA